ATAAAATAACGTAAAATAATGTACATCGCTACTCTCCAGATTATTTTACTTTTTCTAATAAAAGTCATCTACTGCAATTATAATGATGACAAAAATGCCATGTTGAAGTTAAAAGACAAAGCAAAAGAAAGGTTTGTGGTAATCACTTGTATTATCATTTGATATTTTAGATACGATATGTTGTGTTGAAAGGTGGCATATTTTATGATTACTGATCATATTTAGGTTGCAATGAAGTACCCTATAAAAGTAGAACTAAAAATCTTAAACAGTTGATAACATTTTCCCCTACTCATACTAACTCACACATACACGTACACTAGTACGCACTCATTAAATAGGGATTTGCAAGATTTTTTTGTTTTGAAGTCTTTTTTTTGACTAAATAGAATGCAATAGCCACATAGAAAATTAACATAATAACAGTAATATCTTTGACAAGTGCTGTTTTGCATTTCCAAATGTAAAAATGACAAAAAATATTTATAAATGATAGGCTATAAAAACATGGGTGGAAAATTTGATCCTGCCTATTCAAATAAACGGTTTTCGGATTTGTAACAAAGAAGAGCGTCATTTTGCAATGAAATTTAATAAAGCTAATTCTTTAATCAAGACATACACAGTAATACATTCATAAATAAGTTTGCTGCTTGTGTCATGTGGGTGGAATTATTGAGTTTGTTTTGTCATTGCTCAATTGTTCGAGGAAGTTTAATTTCACAAGCCTTGGTAGCTGAAGCTTAGAGAAACTTGAAATGATTCAGACAGATTTAACTAAGAGAGTATTTATCATCTAGCAAACTTACTTGTGCATTTTCTCAACATTCGGACTTTGCATGGATAGAAAATACACAAAGTTACTTCGTATGGCGCTTAAGTAAAGATTTATAAGTTTTTTTATTTGAAATTTGTACTGCTTTCCATATTTTATATCGTTTCACGTTTCACTAAATTTAAGCTAGCCGCAAGTTATTTCTTTATAGTTACGACTTTAACTGTTTGTTAAGTATTTTTAAGAGACAGAATGCCAAAGTAACAAGTTGTCGAGGACTTCCAGGACTTCCAGGACTTCCAGGCAGAGATGGTGAGTAAAACAACATTCTTTACTTTTGAAGTTGTGAAATATTTTAAGAAAATGTTTACTACCGCAACGTAGCTCTATTACTACTGAATCTAATTTTTCTAAAATAACCTTACAATTTAGGTCGTGATGGCAGAGATGCTTTATTTTGTGGTGAGTTTTTTTTAACAAAGGTCATTTTCTTTTTATCTGTAGTTTATGTGTGGTTAAATGTATTTCCTGGAAACTACGTTAAATCTTTTATTAACTCTTATACCCTTCTTAGTTAAATAAACTATTTGATCGATTTTGACAAAATAGCTTATAAACTCGTATAAAGTAAATTACTGCCTTTTTGGCTGCGTGCCATTTACGAGTCCAGATCCTGATTTTATGAATTCTAATTACTTAGATGTTTAATTCAAACGGAACGTACAAAATCTATTATAGATTTTTATAGCAGGCTCTTTTCTGAAATGGTCAGAACTTTATACATGCATTTTCCTTTTCGTGTTTTTTGTGATAGCAGATTGTGTTGAAGAAATGGATGAGTTATTCAAGCCTTTGTGCTTTTTATTCGCGGAATATTTTAATGAGTTATTAGTTTTATTATTCACGCTTTAGTATAGACGCGTTAATATTATATTCGCCAAAGCATAATGTCATCGCTAAAGTGCGATAGTTATTCTGACTGGTTTGATATTCATTGTGACTAAATGTATAGATTTAGATGACATCTTAGATTGCCTGTGCTCTTGGTTTTGAAAAATTTGCACCATTCTTGAGCAAATTTTTTAGAGGGTCAATAATAATCGCAATGCAAAGAAATTGATTACACCAACAATGCATCGAAATAAACAAACATATGGTTTCAAACTTGCATTTCACATTACCTATGAACCACTATGAACGTATGACATAGCACAATAATCATATTTATACATAACACAATAATCTCTTTACACTTGCATTTGCTCATCACAAAAAATAAATGATATAAGAAAATCATATTGTTATGAAATTATGAAAAGTTTGACGCTTTCAAAAGTTGATAACATTGTTAAACAGTCTCTAAGCGTTATAAATAAACGATTTCAAATGACATATTGTTGTTAATCAATAATGCGCTCATTGCTATCGCTAATTGGGGAGGGCTCTTATTCATTTATGCATGATATGCTGAATTAATATCTTTTGAAATGTACAGATTTATAACATGTATATATGAATAAGAGCCCCTTAATTAGCGATAGCAATACATCCCTAATTTTGCTGTGAGAAAAGTCAGAAAACATATTAAAATGACAGAAACAAACGTTTTTTGAGCTAACAAAGACATGTAATATAATATAGCATCCATTATCCATATAGGCTTACATAGCTAAATATTTAATGGGACATAGAATTTATATTGGAAGCTTTTATAAGATTAAAGTGTTCCATACTTAAAATGTGATCATTTACAATGGTTAAACCTGTAATGAAACTTTTGATATTAGATATTTTTATTCAGTTTTAACTGCATCATGTTAGAGTGATCTGTTGATTTTAAAAAATGAGTACACCTTCAAAAAGTGGTATTCATTCATATATCATAAACGTTCAAGTAAGAAGTCAATTTTAAGTGTCCTTGTAAGGGAACCCCACGATCTACAAATTGTGGTTGTCTGGACACCAATGGGTTCCTATAAGCCCCTAATTTCTAAAGTCGTTTTTTCACCGTGTCTAACGGAGATTTGAAAACTACTCCTGTCTAGGCTTCATATAGTCAAAGGTGCTAATATTAAAGTTAAATATTATAAGGTCCTCGTGGTAAGCAGGAAAACCAGGTCCAGCTGGTCCACCAGGACCTAAAAGTAAACCACGTCAACCGGTGGAGTGGTCTACACCAGATGGGGAAGAAAACATTGTCCTAACACAGCAAAACTGTTGAGATTTATTCTGGTAAGAAAATCTACGTAATTGCGATTCATGATTTAGCTACAACCAGTATAGGTTTAAGCAAGTAAAATAAGCATGTATGAGCGATAAAACTTGTTTCCTATTTTGAGTATTTTTAATGGTTTCAAATACAAAGAAATCGGCTTTCTATTTATTTTAAGATGAAGTCTTTCCTTATGCTTGCATCAACTCACAATCAAACAACAGACTTCTTGACTTCAAATTCATGTCATAACTTCTTTATCACTTGTTTTTGCCAGACCTGCTAATGTTGACAATTCATCCGACCAATCATCAAACTTTTTACAGCGGCTCCCTCGTCCCTACGCCTGTGTCAAATGCTTTGATGAATGTCGTTGTTTAATCTTGTTAACGCTCTTGATTTTGTTTATTTTACTCGTGTGAATCAGGCATAAGAATTTCATTAAATATGCTCATTAGAATTTTTATGTGCTCAGAACGTAAACTGACAGTCATATTTCTTTTAATTGTAAATGTTCGACGCAATATACGCGAATCGACATTTGTATCATAACCTATGTTCTTGTAAAACCAAGTAGTCGTATTCATTAGTTGCAGTTCTAAAGCATCTTTTATGAAAAACAGGAGCAATCGGGGATCGTTTATTCACACAGTGGGAGTGGATCAAATTATCTTTGTTTACCGTTGAATCCAATATACGAGAAATACGCTGCTGGTACTCAGAGTCATGCAATCATTTATGGTACTGAATACGAGATTTATCTGCTGAGAAACATATATTTCCAAATCCAAACTTACACGACCGAGATGCTCCGTGTGCTGTATGTCATGCTAAGTCACGTGGTAGTCACATGATGATTCCAGCGCGCAATATCTGCCCTTCAGGATGGACCTTGGAATACAAAGGTTATTTAATGGCTGAACATCATACTCACAAGCGATCTGAGTACATTTGTGTTGATGGCAAGCCAGAAGGAATACTTGGATCTCATGCAAATAGAGATGGAGCATTGCTATATTTTGTTGAAGGCCATTGTGGTTCTTTACCATGTCCACCATTTATTCATGGAAAGGAACTGACCTGCGTAGTCTGTACTCAGTGATTTATTGCGTTTTAATGCACATATGTACGTATTTTTCCATTATCTTTAGCAACACTAATAAAACATAATTTTTAATTTATCTAATAATAACACATCTGTGACGTCACCATTATATTCCTTTAAATATCCTTACATGCACTTAAGTTCAATGATAAAAATACAAGAAGAAATGTTGTTCACCAACAAATAATGACTTGCTTTCTTTATATGTAGTAAAGGTAAGTTCTGAACGTTTTGCAATGATGACGTCTGTCCATAATTCAGTCTTTATCTCATTGCACTCATGGTAAAGGCAAAGAGCACAATTGTCTGGTATTTTCTGTAACCTCTTTTTACCAACATCACTTGTGATTGAATATGCAGAAGTTTACTTTTCAGTATTTGGTTGGCCTGTTCGAGGGAAAGCTTGTTAGGCCTTTTTCTTCAGATTTTAGGGAGAATTTTAAAAAGCCGCAACTAAAGGAGAAGTAGTCAGCGTGTTCTTTTTATAGTTTGAAGAATTTTGTTAACTTGTCTTCCAGTCCTGTCCTTTAAGCTGTTTTCAAAGGCAACAGATCGAAATTTGATGGATTCGAAAACCAAAGTGTGTAGAAATGGCAAAACTATACAACTTGTCGTTTTTCCAAAATTTAGAAACTAACATGCAGTAGAAATGGTGATGGAAAACAAAATATCGTCACTTAATTAAGCAATCCTTACATTACTTCCAATTGCAGTCATGCATTTAAATATTAGTGTGCTAAAATCGGAAATAAACAGGCGCAGAAAGTTGCACAGACCGCAGATGCAATTTCTCTTGGAAGTAAGTCTGCGCACACGTTTAAATTTGGAGACTTTACTTTTATCTTTTCTTCTCTTCTATAAAACGTTGCGGTTAAAAGTGATTTGAAGTTTGTGCCATGGTAGCTACACTAATTAACCTTGCCTTTTTAGGGCAAATTCAAAATGTTAATAAGATTTATCTACATATTTTTATGACAAATTTATTGTAAAAAAAAGCCCGCTACTTCGCCTCCATTTATTCTATCATGGTAAGGAGTATTACCTCAATTGATTTTTCTATACCTACACTTTTCAACAAAGCAGTGAATTTCGCTTGCATATTCTTAAGAAAATTACCGTTATCATGTTTTGTTGGTATGACGGCCTGCATAGCAAATGTTGGTTTAACATCACCAGTTCTAGAGACGATTATCTTCCAAACAATGTTGATAAGAAAATTTGGATGCTGCTTGTTGCAAGCTGTCATGACGTCATCATCTTGTAAAGGTACATAGGTCACTAATTCTGGGTATTTATTACGAAAATGGTTAAATGTTTTCAATCTGTCTTTTTTCCATTTTCCATAACATTGCAATGTTACAAAAAACTGCTGTAATTGTTTTTCTTCTTGCACATATTCCAAAAAATGTTTAAAACATGAAGATACTTCTTCATTTTTCAAACCGACTTCCAGATAAATAATTCTAGGGTTGTTTTCACAAGCATCTCCTGTTTTTGCTGCAAATGAAACAAAAAAGCAGATTTTGCATGTATAAAAGTAAAATTAAAAAAAGGTACGCATAGCATACACATGGGTAACCTGAATTGATGAATAGATGGCAATGTCGTGAAATGAATTGATGAAAACGGTCTAAATAATATTATACGTTGTTTTCGCTACTTTCTGAGTATCTTTATGGAATAGAAGTAGATTGCCAACGATTCAGTTGTGATTGCAATTAACTCTTATTTAATCTTGAATGTAAAGCCTTCTCTAAAAGCAAGTATTTCATTTTATTCATTAGCCACAGCATGACTCTTATATAGCTATAATGTCTTTAAATTTCATTGTCAAGTTCAACCTTTTTTAAAAAATCCACAATGATTGTGACATTATTTGTAATTATAGAAACTTGAAAGAAAAACCCTCCTTTGATTAACTTTCTTTTCTCTTTAAACTATAAACTCATTAAAACAGAGGGACATGGTTGAGGATTGCACGCACAAAAGAGACAATTTTCATTTGTCGAAAATGACCAAGCTCAAGCTACGCTATTTCAAACATAGAAGTCAAATTATCTCGACAACATAATTTGTGATTATCATTTACAGTCAAACCGGATGTTCTGCTCAATTGAAGTAAAGCAATCGCTATTGAAATATTGAAAGGCAATTTACGGAGAAAGTTCCTTCGAAAGTTCAACAAAGTTTGCACATCCCTTTAGCAAATACTGAGATGGTTTGTATACTATACCATAGGTATGGTAAAAGTCAGGTACTTGACAAACAAGACCAGTTACGTGATAAAAATAGAGACACAAGTCAGTTGACAAACTTTATAGATACCAATTACATTCATTGTTGTGATATAATCTCAGACCAGAGCAAACAACTCAGTTGTATATTAACATGGAAGTCAGATGATCTTTTGAGACTAAATTATCAGTCTTTCATTTGTTTGCATAAACAAATTTGAAACTATCAACTGCCATAAATGACCTTTAAACAAAAAAACCATAAACAACATTTAAACAAAAAAGCATTGTATAAAAAACTTCAATTGTGAATTTGATTTATCATGAATTTAATTTGAACGTAAATATTAGGCAACCTTTACTGTAACAAAAAATTGCTAATCAATTTAGTTTGGTCACCTTGAAAAAAATGAATTTTGCTTCCTAGTTACAAATCAATTTTAACACTTTTTCAATTAAACCAATTTTCATAATTTTCATAAATTCATATTACTTCATACAGTTGATACAGTAATTTTTTCAGTATCAATAAATATATTTTTCCAATACACCACAGCATCCTGAGTATATCCCAAACAATGTAAATTGTTCTAATGAGCAACGGTAATGAGAATAATTGTGAAATTCTCATGCAAACAAAGAACAACTAAACAAGAATATTATAATTGCTTCACTTGAATGGAATGATGTTTTATAAAGTTGTACAATGTACTTAACAGAAGCAGCAGATTTATTAGCAATTGCTAAGATAAATTTTAACAGCTGATTCATATCACCTCATTTATGCCTCATTGTTCACACATACAGGTTTATAAAATAACAACAATAAAATGCCTGCAATGGTTGGTTAATGGCTGAGTTTGCAATTTGCTTGTGCAAACCGATATGAGCTCAACCACTGGAGCTGAATGAATGAAATGAACTAAAGAGAATTTACAAATCAATCATCAATACATGCTATAAGAAAAATTAAAACATTTGTTTAAATTTATCTGTTTTGCATGATTGGTATTTTATAGAAAAATAAAAGATGTTTTTGTGTTTGCACTTGATTATACAACCAAGGAGAAATTTGTGAGAACTCTCAAGAAGGTGGAAATCACTGATCTGTTCTCAATTTCTTCTATACGTCTCCTCGGTTTGCATAAGACTGTGCAATACTGGTAAACATCTATTATTTGTTGAATAACAAACACTCATGCAGAGACTTGACTCTGCCAGTCTAGCTTGTCTTTATACTGTATTTACCTGACTGACTTTGACTATCTTGCTGAGTGACCTCTTCTACTGAGAATTTCATTTGAAATTCAATTCCACGACAAGCCCCTTGTATTTGATGTTTTCTAATACATTTAACCCCATCATCTTTCTCAACTTGGATTATTATATCATGAATATATAAGCTTGTAAACCTTTCTAGACGTTCAATATCGATATGGCCATCATCATGCAGTTTGCCATGAATATCTTTTCCATCTAACAAAGCCTTTTTGTCTTGCGGTAAGTTTTCAGTCAACTTGTCAAGAGTCTGGAGTAAATGTACAGTTGAAAACGACTGCTTGTCCTCGTTTAGCTCGGCTTCCAATTCAGATATTTCTGAGCGTAATTTATCAATTTCTGCTCGATACCATGATTCGGTGCGGTTGAAGTTTGAACACAAGTAGTCATCCCATCGATCGCGTTTCAGTTTAGTTTTTACACGCAAGTGAGTGGTAGAAAGACTTGAAGACACAAATTCGTCTTCCATTTTCCATGAGAACAACAAAATCAGTGAACATTACAAGTGAGTTCGCGCCAAATGGCTAAAATAAGCATGTCCCGTTTTATCCGTAAGTACTGCCTGTTGCCCAAAAATGTTGCGCAAAGAAAATACAGTATCATCAATAAGCACGACAACGTCAAATGGTCAAAGATCAATTTCATCGTTCAAAATTTCGAATTGAATAGTTTATATCTTTGAATCATGCTAAACACGGGGTAAGTACGAGAAGATTGCTCTAATTTTCGGCATTTCTGTCAAAGCAGAATGTTGGAAGGTTGATTGTGAAGAACAATCATTTGCTTATTTTTGAATGTCATGTCAACTGGCCTTTTTTACCTGATGAATTTCTGTATGACTAGTATTTTAGACAGTTTTATTGATTTTTATTTAAATGATCGCATTAAAAATCCTTCCCGTTTTTGGTCTGAACGAAAGGCAAAGAAACCTTTATTTATGCACTCTGATGATAAAATGTAATAGTTTTTAATCATACATGTATTATTTTCCCATTGGATTTTCTGTTTTGTGATCATTCATTATTCAAGTATCTTAGGTTTGCATAATAAACCAGTGCAAACATGAAAAATATCTTTCGTTTCTATTACTAAATAATGATAATGCATAAACAAATGTTTGAATTTGTCCTCTTACATATATGTATTGATGATTGATTTGCAAATTGCCTTTCAGGAATTTAATTGATTTAGCTCAGATTGGTTTGCACAGGCTAATACAAAGTAAACTCGACTTTAGACCAATCAATGCTAGCATTTCATTGTCTAGACTCTTTTCTCTTGTTTTCTAGAAAACTTGCTGGAAAAACAATTTTTATTAGTGGAGCAAGTCGTGGTATTGGTAAAGCTATAGCTTTAAAGGCAGCACAGGATTGAGCAAATATTGTCATTGCTGCTAAAACAGCTGAGCCGCATCCAAAGCTCCCAGGAACAATTTACACAGCTGCTGAAGAAGGTCAGTTTTTGATGTCTGTTTTGATGTACACAGTCAGCAATGTTAGATGTTTAATTCTTGCAAAAGAAATTTGTTTCAATAAAAAGATTTTCTTGTAGATATGCATATTGTAAAGAATTATGTATCACTTTGAATAAGGAATTTCCAGATATTTATAGGATAGTGAGGGAAATTTTATTACCGTTTGCATAGAGTGCTAAATATTTTTCCTTTTAATAGTATTTGCCTAAAAGGATTCTTTTCTTTTAATGAAGATATTGTTTACAATGACATAATCTAGTAATTTGCTATCTTAAAATGTTACTCTACAGTCTACCAACATTCTGGTTTACAAAACAGCTGAAATTTTCAACTCAAGTTTCCTTTTCTACAGTTTTGACTGCACACATTTTGGAAGTTCTTTACAGGAAATCTGTTTGTTAATGTCTCCATGTTCTTATACATACAGCACCCAAATACGAATACTACAAAATAACTCGCCATGTTTTATTTAGATGTTTCATGTATGTTTTTACTACTTCCGTTTCCTGCAAACCAACTTTCAAAGATCTTTTTACCAATTTTCATAACCATTGGTTATATAGTCTAAAGATGAATAATGATGTTAAGCGACTCGCGTGATCAATTGTTTGATGTAAATCGTTAAAATGTGCCTATTAGTTCAACATTTGTAGCTATTGCTCAAAGGGGAGTTAAAAAAGTAATTCTAACCAAAATTCTGAGAAAGTACAAACGGCTATATTAGTTAAGGAATTGGGTCTAGAATAAGGAATTGTATCTCTAAACATAATGGCGAGAGTCTCTGTGTATCTTATGTATGTATTTAGTAATGTTTATTTTTTCTCAGATACGACCTAATGAATGGTGTCAAAACCAGAGGAACATTTTATGGTAAAATCTTTGTTCTATTAAGTACCCAAATAGCCTAACCTATCCTACTTGGAATTGCTGACTACGTATGGTGTTTTATTCATCTCATTTCTTTACGATGTTTAATTTATGTAGCTCTCAAGCGTGTATTCCATATCTGAAAGTTGGCCAAGAACCCTCATATTTTAAACATCAGTCCGCCATTAAACATGAAACCTCTTTGGTTTAAAGGACACGTAGGTAGGCCATCGTATTTCATTTCAAGTAGGTCCACGTACTTAGCTGTTGAGTCCGAAGGCCCTCTTACACGTATGTGCCGTACATATGTAGCTATAAGGTAGTCAACCAGTTCTGTTTTCCAGCTTTTTCAGTTTGTTCAAAACACTTTTATTCACATATATTCTGTATTTTAGTGGACATTAATTGAATCAAAAGTATTAACAATGCAGTTTTAAAATTAGTGGTGCTCATATTTATGTACTTAGCTACGTGCCCTGCGAACTATTCGAGAAAAGTCAGTCACTTTTGCCAGTGAATTAAAACCGATTTTTATGTTCTGGTATTTTGATAGCATACACGATCGCTAAATATGGTATGTCCATGTGTGTTCTTGGTATGGCTGAAGAATTTAAAGATGATGGTGTAGCAGTGAACGCTCTTTGGCCAAAACAGGTCAGTTACGTGTTACAGTGTCATATAGCTAGGGGTTCATCTTAACATTGTGCTACAGGGGGTATGGCATGCATCATATAGTAGCGATCTAAATATTTTTTTTTATTTTTCTGTCACTTGAACGACTTTATAATCTTTTTATGGGCTTATTTGGTTGAGTTATTTTATGTATTTCTGTATGTAAACATATACGTGTGCTTACTGTGCTTCCCATTCGTGCATTTTAACATTAGTTTCCTCATCCATAGACAACTGCCCTAGAGGCTTACTTTGTGTTTCCTCATCTTTATATAAACGCCCTTCCTCATACTCACAGGACTTTGACAACAATGTTGTATCGTAGGACAGCAGCAATGGAGATGCTTGCTGGTGGAGATGTCTTAACAATGTCGTAAGACAGACATCATGAGTGATGCGGCTTATGTTTACTAACTAGAGACAGTAAATCAAGGACTGGTGAATTTCTTATTGATGAGGATGTTTTGAATTGCTGTATGCCATCATCACTGTTTACAAATCTCCACGGACCACCATATGAAGCATGTACACAATGCGTACCTATTTTGAATTGCTGTATGCCACCATCACTGTTTACAAATCTCCACCGAACACATATGAAGCATGTACACAATGCGTACCTATTTTGAATTGCTGTATGCCACCATCACTGTTTACAAATCTCCACCGACCACTATATGAAGCATGTACACAATGCGTACCTATTTTGAATTGCTGTATGCCACCATCACTGCTTACAAATCTCCACTGAGCACCATATAAAGCATGTACACAATGCGTACCTATTTTGAATTGCTGTATGCCACCATCACTGCTACAAATCTCCACGGATCACCATATGAAGCAAAAGTTGTTTGCTCAATTGGCGTTTAGTCAGTAAGAAAACAGCCTGGAAAACTGTTGCCTCGTTTAAATGTTTTCTTGCAGCTGTTTTTTCATATCTTTTACGACCGATCATCCCATTACCTTATTTTTAAGATTGAAATGATATTACTCAGAGTTATTTTAGATATTTAAATTTTCCCATTATAGGACCATTTTAAAATTTTAGAAGATAAAAGGATTACAGTATGAAAGACATGCATTACTTATATTGTCTTGCAATTTAGGGTATGCAGTATGGAGCTATAAAATTTGACAGTAAAACATGAAAATCCAGCACTCACCTTAAATTTTTGAATGAAAAAACTTGATTGCCCTTCATTGACCTTTTATAAGAGAGCATACTTTTGATAGTGTAATTACATATAAGTGCACCTCTACATAATAAATAAATTAAACTCTGGACTCACTTTACTGTAAAACTTGGTGCTGTATGTATATCTAATAACATTACTTATTGCTCTTATTGGTTAGATAACGCACTCGACTAGTACTGGCAGCCATCATGCCAATTGACAACTTACATCCAACATCAATCTACATTGATTACTGGGGAATAAGACCAAGTAATACAAAACACGCATCCTGCGAAGGGTTAAGAAGCCACATGCATTGTTCAAACTGCAGAAAGAAGAAAGTCACCTAAAGAACAGCATCCCAATAAATATTTTCAGTAGTTACTGACAGAAACATTTGCTTTAAAGGCTTTCATAAATACGAGTTCACCTTTTGATGTTCATTGCATCAACAAAATTGTTAGGTGAAACGCCAGATCCCAACCTTTGGCATAAAGAACTAATGGAAAATCGCTCCCAAATATTCAAAATGATAAATTAAACTGCGAGGGAGGGCTCTTCAGGTAATCCTTTCTGTCACCCGTCTTATAAAATTAATTACCTTTCCCTGTCAGCTGGAGACAAGATTCAGGAGCAAATTGTCTAGTTACTTCTTTCCTTTTTCATTTGTGAGTCGATATCTGAAACAGGTACTTACAAAATATTTACGAATATTGGTTTAAATAATTCCAGTATGTAAAATGCAAGTTTGGTGACCTTTCCTCTTAGAACTGAGCCTTGCAACACCGTGACTACTTTCACATTTTTCTACTTTTAATAAGACGACAGTAAGGTAACTCACAAGTCAATAGCCAATTAGCAGGAGACTTGTATCCGTCAATCGTACTCAACAGCTGTTGTTTAAAATTTAAAACTTGCTTTGCTCTGCATGTAAAAAGAGTAATTTAATGTCAGCTCAGCGAAGACGAACCAGCTGGTGTTTTTTTTAAGAGAAATTGATTACATTTGAACAAATCTTGTGTCTGTAAGAGTCAATAAAACTTTGAATGTACATCGTTTGGCTATAATCAATGACTTACAAAATTAAGAAAATCTCAACTCAAGACCATGTAGTATGCACTACTACCAAAATATTTGGACATATGGAATATTGAAATCATCATTGACTCCACAATCTTTCATGAGAATGACAAGGCGTTATCACTTAAAAGCTTATGCCCCCATAGTCATTTGCTTATTCTATAATGACCAAAAGATAACAAAAATATGTAGCAAGATAGACATTTTTTAACAGATGATATTGATCTGCGCATGCGCAGCAGCTACTCTTAAAAACTGTGGCTTATTTCTCACACACTGACACACATAAAATTACTGTCGCATCTTTTTGTCAATGCTAACA